GATCTTCCCTCAGCTCTTCCTCCCCAACCCCGGGCCTCCCTTTACACCTCCCAGTGGCCTCAGAGCCACAGGACTCGCATTAGAATAAAGCCCATGTGGCAGTTACTTAGCCAAACCAGTACTCACCCAGAAGCAGCCATGGGGTCACGCAGCCATTGGGGGAGAAGCCGTGGAGTCATCGCCGCAGTGGCACATGGAGGCAAAGGACAGCAGTGAGATACAAGCACAGCCAACAAACAAGTCTTTGGGGCCCCTCTTTGGCCTGAGCCTGGGCCCAGGTGCGGGGCTGTGGGGGGGAACCCTGCCCTTCCCTCTGCCTCCGGGGCTCTTTGGGGCAGATACCGTCTTAGTCAGCAGTTTGATAATCTGATAATCTACCCTGAGCTCATCGGGTCTCCATGGGCCCAGCCCACTGGAGGAAGCAGGATCCCTGCGGACAAACATTAGCTGAGTACCTACTGTGTGCCAGGTGTTGGTCCCTGCCCTCATGGAAGCTATAGTCAGTGAGGAAGCAATCTTATAAATAATAACTGAATTACAACTGTGATGAGTGCTTCAAGGAGGAGACTTGAGAACTTGGGGTCATACCCTGGCTCTACCATGTACTAGCTTGGTGACATTGGGCCTATTTCTTGACTTCTCTGTGTCTCAGATTTTCATCTGTAAAATGCAGAAAGTATTAGTACCCACCTCCAGCATTGTTGTGAAGATTAAGTAAGTTAATATATGTAAAACATTTTGAACAATGCTTGGCACACAGTAACACAGCAAAATTCATAAATGTTAGCTACTGTTATCACAGGGAGCTGTAGGCATGGGTTTCAGAGAGATCTGGTGTGGGTCAGGCCACCACCTACCTGAGAAGGTAGAGACTAAAGGAGACAATGAGAGGTGAAGCTCTGAGCCCAGTGCCTGGTGTATGATAACAAATTACTCAATAAATAGTGGTGACATTCTTAGGGTTGTGCTCCAGTGCATCACCCCAGGATAAAGCATCTCAGCAGAGTTGCTGTCAGAAATGCTCCCTCCCCACAAACACACACCCAGAAGTGCAGCTTTGGACTGAAAAATAACCAGCACCCACATTCTCACCTGATTCCACAAATGCCTCATTGCCTTTGACCTTCACAATAACCCCGGAAGTGGACAAAGGCAAAATTATTACTATTCCCATATTACAGATGAGGACAGTGAGGTGAAGGGACTCCTCTCTGTGTGTTCTTGGCCGCTCACTTCACATCTCCAAGACTAGTTAAGTGGTCGAGCCAGGATTCCAACTGGCATCTGCCTGGATGTTGTTCTCCAGGTCTTCCCATCCATTTTGCCCTTCAGTCTCTGCCATACTAGCTGTCCAGCCCCAGACAAGCCTTTGAACCTCTCCAACCTCATTCCCTTCATCTAAAATAGTTGCTGTCAAACAGCCAGCCCAGGATCCAAGCTGTTCCTGACCCAAATTCTCCCTCCGCAGGCTCAGCCACTACTACCCAACCCCTCCTCTAACCCTTGACCCCATCACCAACCTCAGCCACTCACCCACAGGCCAAGGAATGTCTGTACTCAACTACTCTAAACCCATGCTTTACAGATGGAGAAACTGAGGTCCAAACTGGCCACATACCCAGGGTTGCCTTTCAGTGCCCAGCTCTTGCACTGAGCATAGGCAGGTGGGGCTGGCCTTCTGGAGAAACTCCCTGTGAGGCCCTGACCCCCAAGTTGCTCCTTCTGCTTCTTTCCCCCCTCACTAGAACCAGTGGGCACCCACAGAGCCTGTCTCCCACCTCCCCAGCCTGAACATCCCAGAGCTCTGAGCTTACCCAGCAGGGGTCAGGCAGGTTCTGCAGGTAAGGGCTAAGCAATGTGGGCACCTCAGTACCTACGGGGTGGAGTCTCCCCCTTTTAGCTGAGTCTGGACTTTGGAGGCAGACAGACCTGGCTTAGAATCCCAGCCCAGCCACTTCCTAGCTGTGTGACTTTGGTCAAGTCTATTCACTCCCTGAACTCCTGTGAAATAGGGATAATACCTATTCCCTCATGAGGATGTAAGAATTATGAGGAATACGTAATGTTGCATATTAAAGGCTTGGCACAGAGCGCCATGCACAGTAAGTGCTCGAGAGGCTGCAGTTCCAACTGTGATTCAAGAACACAGGCCAAGAACAGGACTTGGGGGCCCATCACACTCAACCTTGCCCTTGCCCCATTCTCTCCCCCTCCCCTCATGTGGGGTGAGGGTAGTCCCAAACCAGGTCCCAGAGCCTGTAGTAACAGGCGCCGGAAGATCCTTAGAGACTCTAGGCTCATCTGGCCTTCTCATTTCACAGAAAGAGAAACTGAGACCCAGGGAGAAAAGTGACTGCCCACAGACTATCAGGGAGTGGAATCCTGCCCCATTAATAAATATCAGAATATTAGGCCCTGGGGAAATTCTGAATGCCCCATTCCCCAGGGGACTATCATAAAGGTCCACTCTGCAAATACCCAACAAATCTCAGGCCACCATGACCTCTATGGTGAGTCTTTCATGGGTATCCTATTCAGTTCTTTGGCCAGCTGACCCATATATGTCACACAGTAGGTGCTCAGGAAAGGCTTAGGGAATAACCACATGAAATTACTCTTTGGTTCCACAGCTCTGCTCAGGCTCCCCCTCCAGAAGTCTCTTCTTGCATCTCCCTTCCTCACTTCCACCACAGCCCGCTTCTGTCTCAGGTCCTATCAGCTGTACCCCAATGCCAGCCAGCAGAGCTCTGCGCCTCCAGAGGCCTGTACTGTATCAGCATCTTCCCAGCCAGGCTGGGAGGTTCCTGCCCAGCAGAGTAAGCCAGGCTCCCTGCCAGGGTCCACTCTTCAAAGAGGGTGCTGGCCTTGCCCTGCTAGGGGCCCCACCCCCAGTGGCCTAGGGAGTGGGGCAGCCTGGGAGTTTCTATTGGCACCTGGGGCCTTCAGGAGGGAGGCCAGCCTGGTCTAGGCAGTTCAGGGATGGGCTGAGCAGGAAACACACGTGTGTCACCCACACACCCAGGCACTCCTCCTGCATCCCACATTGCTAGGAACTGGCAGGCTCCGCTTGTCTCTCCTATATACCCAGAGGAAACCTCAGGGCTTCCTCACTCTATTCCCTTCTTAAAACACCCCTGTTGGCCTGTTCCCAGAACAGTTACCATTCTGGTCACTGCACATGCTTTGCCTCATTTGATTCTGCTAATGCCTGTAAGATCTGGATTACTGACTAAGGATGAACCTGGGGCTCAGAGAGGTGAAGTGATTCATGCAAGGTCACATAGCAAGGAAGTGGCAGGACCAGGATTCAAACCCAGTTCTGCTGCATGTAAAGCCTACAGGGTACCAGAAGTCCCCTTCTGTCCCTCCTCTCTGCTCCCTACATGTTCTGGATGCCCTTCTTCCCAAAACTTCCACCCCCTCTGCAAAGTCTCTCCTCCCCCATTCCTAGTCAGAATTAACAATTACCACCTCATAGCTGCTTATTAACACCTTGTTTACATGCACCCGACAGCAGCCGGTACACCTTGTCTACATGCACCGGACAGCAGCCGGTACACCTTGTCTACATGCACCGGACAGCAGCCGGTGTGGGAGTTATTTCTGAGGTGTCTGTCTCTCTGACACTCAGAAGTGACCTGAAGGCAGGGAGTGATCCCAGTAAGTGCTCCTTAGACCTGAGAGTCTGTCACGTCTATCTCTACCCTCCCCCGCCCCCCATGCAAAAGTCCTCTGGCCTCCTCCTGTTGATCGCCTGCCCACGCCAGTCCCCAGGCCTGTAACTGGGGTGAAGTTGGGAGCATGCAGTAACCTCAGGGGCTCTGTGCCAGTGCTCTGGCCCCTCCCCGACCCCACCCTCTTCCCTTCAGTAGCTGAGCAGCTACCCTGACCTGACACCAGGCAGTTCTCACAGGGACTCCCAGCTTCCCTAAGCCCAAGCCCAGGTCAGACTCTCCCCAAGCCTCCTCCTGGAGAAAAGGACTCCAGAAGCAGAGAGGGGTCTGCCTTCAGCCCTAATCCGGGAACTTAAGGGTGTCACATTCAGCCACTCCCTCCCAGAAGAAGCTGTGGGCCTCGGAGTAACCTCCCCCAGTCCCACGGGTTAGTCCTCCCCTCCCGCCTTCTGGGGCAAGCTAGGGCTGAGGTCGATCTGGACAAGTCCCGGCCCTCAATTTGCTGGAGGAGAGAAGTCCTATCCTACCCCCAAAGAGGTGGGGTCTCTCTTTGGGGGTAGGATAGGAAAGTGTAGGCGAGGGCAGAAAACTCTCGGAGAAAGACAGAGGACAGGGACAGGGAGAGACTGGGCCACACAGAGGAGATGAGAAACACAGGGAACCGCGGGCAAGCAGGAACCAGAGCACGACAGAGACCCGGCCGACTGGAAACAGAGAGAAGTCTCCTAGACCAAGCCTAGAAGGGAGCTTGTGCGTCCAGGGCGGCGACAGGAGAGCCACCCTGGCGGGCAGAGCCTGCGCCCCAGCTCACGGGTCCCTCAGTCCGGAAACTCAAAGTCAGTTACGTAAGGGCCGGAGGGGCCCTGGGCCCGGGTGCCCCCTCCCGCTGCACGCCGCCCGCCCGCCCGCTCCGCCGGCGCTGCAGCTGGCCCGGCAGGAGCACTCGGGGCCCGACAGGGCGGGGTTGGGGGGAGGGCTGGGCTGCAGCACTCCTTAGAGACACGCCCGCCGGCACCTAACCCAGGACCCCCGACCCAGACAAGCCCGGGACCGGCTGGGACCGCCAGCGCCAAGCATCTCCGGACGCGAGCTCTCGGACCCCCTTCCCGTCGCCCCTGCCCCTCCCCGCACTCCGAACTTCGAGACGCCCAGGCCCCTCTGGACCCCCAGTTCGGAACTTGGAACCCGGGACCCCTAGAGCCCCCGATCCCGACCCCTAGGACCAGATCTCTCCCCACCCGCGGGACGGCCCGGGCCCTAGGGAGTGGGTCCATCCGTCTCTCACCCCGTCCCTCCCGGGGTCGGCCCCAGGCGGCCCGGGCTCACCTGGGCCGGATGGGGCGGAGACCTGGCTGGGCCGGGCCGCGTTCTCGCCCTCCGCCACTCTCGCCCTTTAAGAGGTTCCTGCCACTTTGCCCCGCCGGGGGCCTCCACCTGCACTGACAGGGCAACTCCGGCGTGAGGCCCCGCCCCCGACCCGGGGCGCCTTCTGATTGGCGCAGGCAACTGCCAGTCAGCGGGGCGGCGTGGGGGAAAGAGCCAGGCACAGTGAGCGTCGCAACCGGGAAGGGGCGGGGGCTGCAGGTGCGGCCTGACCGGACGCCTAGTTCTGGGCGGCAGGGCGCTGACCCTCTGGGTCTGGGGAGGGTCGGGCAGAGAGCTGCTGGATTGGCTGGTGTGGTGTCTGACGTCATATGGCGAAAGTATAGTGCAATTTGCCACGTGGTGCTACCCTTAAGGCTGGGAGTTGGTCATAAGGGACCTAGGAAAGTGACCCTGGCGAGGACCCCTTGGTGACCTGTCCTACCTGTGTGACCTCGAGCGAGTCACTTCTCTGAATCTGAATTTCCTCAACTATACATCTTACAATGTTTTCCTGAGAATTAGCGATATATGTTAAGTGTCAAGGGCAGGTCTGGCACACAGTTGGTGGCGTTCAGTAAATGTGGGTTTTCCCTTCATCCCCATCTTGCCACTCAGAGACTTTCCCCCTCCTGATTGTCCATCCCATCAGCGCTGGAAGGGGCTTACATAGTCACTGGTCCAAGTCCCCTCCCCTCTTTACCTCATTTCAGACATGTTCTCACATACTTCCAATGACAGGAAGCTCACCACCTACCAGTCAGGCCTCCTTCATTTTAAAAACGTTGTGAGACTTCAAAAGCTCTGCCTAAAATTAAGGCCAGCTCTGCCCTTTAGGAGTCCTGCCCACAGAGAACAAACCTAATCCCTCTTCCATGTTGAGGAATCAAAGAATCATAAAATCATAGGATATTTCAGGTTGGAGAGCCATGGAGAGCTAATCACTTCTGGGGGCAAATGGTGAATACTGAAGCTCACTGAGGACTAGTGACTTCCTATGACTTCAGTGGTCTTCCTATTAGATGGACTCTGGAATCAGACTGCCTTAGTCTCAGAACCCAACACTGCTACTTACAAGCTGTGTTGTTAAATGAAATAATCCATGTAAAGTACTAAGAACAGTGCCAGTCTCAGGGTAAGCATCCAAAAAGTGTTAGCCTTTATTATGATTATTGATGTTAACATTATATCAAAGTTATAAATTCATGGTTTGCTCCCCCAAATTCACTGAAGCCTCCTCTGAGCCAAGTCTTGTTTTAGTTTTCAGGGCCCTGGTCCCTGCCTTCAAGAGGCTCACAGTCTAGCAGAGAAGGGTCTGAGCCCCTAGAGCTGGGGGATGCTTTCTGATAAAGGTGCACAGGCTCCAATGCACCACAGAATCTCTAGTTCCTTTAACCAGAAATCTGGACACTTGAGACCCTTTCAGCACTTTGCCCAGTGGACCCCACAGGGAAAGCTGACACACACACCCAGGTTCCCAAGCCTACTGAGGCACCTTTCACTTGTCCACATTCTCACCTGCCCACCAGGTGATATTGCCCAGTGTTACGAGTTTGGGATTTGGAGGCAATCAAGTCTAGGCTCTTCATCTTACCAGCTTCGTACCTCTGGGAAAATCACTTTCCCTCTGGATTAATAATAGCCCCAACTTCATACAGAGCTGTTTCGAAAATTAAATGAGAGTATGTGAAAATACATAAGCAAATACCCGGTAATGGATCCAATGTTAGTTTTTAATTGCTCCCACATGTGTTCATTCACCCGGGAGAAAGCAGGCTGTGAATGCCTTGATTTAGCCTCGGCAAAAGGGGTTTCCTCCCCCTACACCCACCTCTTCTCTGCTCCTCAATCGAAGGAGCCGGGCGAGGAGAATCCCGCAGCGGCCCAGACTAGGCTATTCTAAGTAGCTGCCGCAGGCCCCGCCCCCTCCCGGATTGGGGCTGGCACTTGGCTCCTCCTCTGCTAGGCAGGAGCTGCCTGGGGGTGACTCAGCAACGCCAGCGCCTGCCCTGGCCTGATAACTGTGTGGGCCTGGGAATGCGTGTGTGGTGGGGGAGGCCTCTGTCTTTCCGAGTTTGTGCGTGGGACGTCTATGTGGGAGTGTGCTTGTGATCTTGACCTTGTGTGTGTCTCTCATCTCTGTGTATTGGGGGCGGGGTGCATTTATGGGTGTGACAGTGTGCCCTTGTTGGTGAGTTTGCACAGAGGATGTGACTCTGTGTTTGTCTCTCTCTGTGTCATATAAACTGCCCCCCCATCCCCGGCCCCACCTCCCACCAGGCCCTGGGGCCCTAGAGAAGTCTGCCCTGCCCAGGGCCCTCTCTGCCTAGACAGCCTGGGTTTCTTGCTGAGGTGACTTGTGCACTTGTGTGGGGGGTGGGATGGCTGGGTGCTGTCACTGCCTGGACCTCTGGCCCCCTGCCCCACCGCCCCTGCCTGTGAAGTCTCCACCTCCCTCCCCTGACTCAGGGAGTAATTTGTTCCCTGAGATGATCCCTGTGGGGGAGGCCTCCAGAAGAGGCGATCACTATTATTTTATGTGCATTCTCTCATTTGATCCCATTGAATCCTTACAGCCAAAAGTGTTCTAAAGAGGGTCTGAGAGCAGAAGCGACAGCCAAGGTCCCACAGCTTGTAATAGAAGGCATGAAGCTTACAGGTGGGGGCCAGATCTCTTCCCCAGGCTGAGCACTGAGTTTGCCTGGGGCCTGTGGGGGACTGATAAGCTTGGGGAAAGGAACCTGTTTGTGTCTCCCCCTCCTCCTGCGTTGCCTGGGCCTCCAGCCAACTCCCTATCCTGCCAGAGCCTGGGCTCTGCCATCAGCCCTGATTGGGTTTTGAGTTGGGTGATAATGAGGCCAGGGTATGGGGCAGGGCCGATATGGGAGCGTTTGTTCCTTCAACAAAACTTAATTGAACACATTATTCAGAACTGACCAGTACCCAGTCTAACTGGGGAAGGGTGTCACAAGACCAGGCCACAAGGAATGATGGAGACAGAGTGGAAAGCTCAGGCCTGAGGCAAGGGATGTGGCTAGAGTCTGCTGCAGGTTTGAATCCCGACTCCACCATTCACAGGGTGGGTGTATGACCTGGCCAGTCATATTTCTCTCCTAGCCTGTCTCCTCAACAGTCAAATGAGGTAATGTCACTCATCCTGCCATTACCTCACTTTCCTGACTCCAGGACATCATGACTCTAGGGTATTAGACGGGATTGCCATTTGTAAACTGAAAGTTGCTCTCCGTACATAATGGATGTTCCTGTTGTGATTCACGGCCTCCTGTGATGAAGGCCCTAAAGCAACTCTATACCCAGAGCCCAGAAAAGAAAAAGGATCCCATCTGAGGGATTAGGGAAGATTGCCTGGAAAAGGTGACCTTCCAGCTAGACTTTTAAGGATGAATTTTCTGTATGGAAATGGAAGAGGGCATTCCAGGGGGAGGGACAGCCTGCACAAAGGCCTGGAAGTCGAATAGTGAAGGTGTACTTTGGGAACAGAAAATGGTCTGGTATATTTGGAGCACAGAGTGAATTGTGCGACCACATAGTGGAAGGCCTTGAATGCCAGGTTAAGACCAGGGCAGGTGGGACTTTCTTGGTGGTCCAGTGGCTAAGACTCTGCGCTCCCAATGCAGAGGGCCTGCGTTCGATCCCTGATCGGTGAACTAAGATCCTGCATGCCACAACTAAGACCCAGCGCAAATAAATAAATAAATATTTGTTTTAAAACAAGAGCAGGGCAGGTGGTGGGGGAGAGGGCAGATACTGACATTTGGGGATCAGCCAGGGAGGCTTTGAGGTAGAGACAGCCATGTGCTGGCTGGGGTGTGGCAGTCACTTGGGGGACATCTGAGGTGAAGAGAGAGAGAACTGGTGAGAAGTGGTTCAAGGAACCCTCCCCAGGAGAATCCATTTGAAGCCTGGGGAAAATCCCCAGGATGACATCAAGGTGGGCTAGATGCTGCAGAGCCCCCTCCAAGGGAGACATGGGGATTGGTAGGGATGGAGAAAAAGCTGAGTCAGATGCCCCAGTCCAGGGAGGGATGCATGTGTGGGCACAGAGGGTGCCCACCAATAAACACCGAAGGTCTCTGAAGGCCCTGCTGCCCAGCTTTGCTAGTGTGGGGAGGGGGCCAATCCCGCCAGGAGAACCCCTTGCCAGGGAAGGTCCATCTCCAGAAGCCCCTATTCAAACAGCAGTGGTTGCCAATGATTGGCTTTTTATATATCTGCCAGGTACTTTACTAACCTGTTCCCATGAGATCCCCCTATTTTATCTGAGAGAGGTGAAGTGACTACTTGCGATCACACAGCCAGTGGCAAGGCCAGGACTTGAAGGCAGCACTCCCCGTTTCCTGAGAGGGCAGGAAAGAGCCGATGGAGGTGTTTGGTGGGAAGGCTAAGATTCTGGCTGTTTGGGGCTAGGAATCTGGAAGGCGCAGGCTTCATGGAGAAGGAAAGATGGTGTCTGCCGCCACCTTGCGGTCATAGAGCCGCTGGGGTGGTGTAGAGCTCAGCTGCCCGGACTGCCGAAGGGGACCAGCGCCAGGGGCTGAACCTGTCATAGGGGGGCTGCTTTGGGTGCATGGGGGTCAGCTCTGAGGCAGGGGGTTGTGGTTTTCCTCTCAGTGCCTTTGAGAGGATTAAAAGAGATCATCTTTACTCCTGTAAATACCCTCCACAGCCTTTACTCTATCTTTACAGTTGGGTAAACTCAGGACCCAGTGGGCAGGTCTAGGATTCTGGGGCCTAAAGATTATTTGGAGGCCTCTCTAAAAAAAAAAGTAAAGTTAAGAATAAAAAATGGAGAACTATATTCAATATCTTATGATAAACCAAAATAGAAAAGAATATTTTTAAAAATATATTAATATATATCAAGATATGTATAACTGAATCACTGTGCTGTAGAGCAGAAATTAACACAACATTGTGAATCAACTATACTTCCATTAAAAAATTGATTACAAAAATATATATCATGCAAAACAACACCAAAAAAACAAAAAAGAATAAAAAATACCTGTAGCCACTCAAGGTCAGAGGACACAAATGGGAAGGAGGGAAAGTCAGAGTGGAAAGATGCAG